ATTCGGTTAAGCCAGCATAGAAAGCTTGCACTAATTGCCATTTTGGAATCAAATGATGCGGACATTTTCTAAGAAGGTCTTGTAGCCTTTCCCAAGTCTCGTAGAGTTGTTCTCCATCCGTTTAAGAAAAACTAAGAATGGAACGCCTCATTTGGTTGGTTTTACTCATCGGATAATACTTCTTAAGGAATTCTTGCTGTAATTGATCCCAAGAAGTGATGGAATTTGGAGTGAGTGAGTTTAATCAATACTTTGCCCTATCCTTTAAAGAAAATGGGAAAAGATGCAGATGGAGTGCATTCTCAGGAAAACCTCTCAACCGGATGGTCGAACAGATTTCAAGGAATTCATCAAGATGCTTATACGGATCTTCATTATCAAGGCCATGGAAAGATGGAAGCATTTGAATGGTACTTGATTTGATCTCATATTGAGCCGCATCAATGTTTGGCATCACTATGCATGAAGGTGAAGCATATGTAGTAGGGATGAAATGGTCCCTGAGAGTCATTGGCTCTTCATTTGGAATTTTGGCCCTAATTCCCTTATTTCTAACATCTCCTACATTTTTAGCCATTGTGTTAAATTCAGTTTCAAGCTCTCTTACGCTAGAAAATTCCCTAAGGTTTCGTCTAAGAGTTCTTTCAAGTGAATTTATGTCAACTGGCGAGTTAAGAGTTGGTAGGGAGAGCGATCTACGACCAAACATCAACAATATATAATGTTATCAGTGCTACTATTCATCATTCACAACTCCACATACGATGTTCCCATTCTCTTCAATTATCAAGACAGAATTTAAATGGCCACGACAAGGACCGATGCTTGTGCACGAAATTTAAACAAGATAATAGCCTCAACCAGGGCTTTAAAACTAAATTATCACTAAGGTTAACACATGCACAATATATTACAAATTCGAAACTAGAAGGTCAAGAAATTTACCTGGAGTCCCCTAGACTTACAAATTTGCTAGCGTTCCCTCAGTGAGCCCCGAGTTCCTAGAATCTCACACAACTTACAACAACAAAATTGTCAAAACCACACAAGAAATATTCACAAATCATAATATTAACAATCAAACTAAAGTTAACCCTAGAACTTCGGTTGCTAAACCGTTTGCAGTCCCCGGCAACGGCGCCAAAAATTGATCGGTTGAGTCGATTACAATTATAAATCAACCTTCGCAATAGCACGAATCATTGTAAAATAGGGCTATTGGTCGGGTAAGTCGAACCACTAGGACTGCGCTAATCTATGGCAACCTAAGTGTTTAGAGTCTTTTTAGAATGATATGGGGTGTTCATAGAGGATTTGTTGGTTGTCACTTAGGCTATGAAATTAAGGTGCATAAAGTAAAAGTTTGCAAGAGTTTAAGGGTGATGAAATACAAGTAAAGAGGACTAGGGAAGTGAATCCGCCTCCATCCCTACACACATGCTTGATTAGAGCTAAATTGAGGGAAAACAATATATATTATGGTCATGATACATGGCAACACTTGGTTGCTATAATATCCTCAAGAAGTTCATTAAATCTGAAGCAAGCATAATCCATTAAAGGTTAACATGTTTAGACTACCTAACTAAGGTGTAGCTTAACCACATTTACTTGAATGAAAGACTATCAAGCCCTAGATAAAATGATGAAGCACATGAAGGTAAGAAATAAGCATAAATCATCAAAGGTTTCACCTAAGCAATGATCTATCAAAGTCCTTATCAACATGCCATTAAACCAATTCATGATCTCACTACCATTGTCACCATGAGAGTGCAAACAACATGATTAAAAGAATAAACCATCAAAGATAGATAATTGACTCAATATTAATCATTTAAATACATGAAGATCCATTACAAGAGGCAAAATGCTCTAGACCATGAAAAGACCAAGGATTATACATTGCAATCCCTAAAATAGAACTATACTAGGACATGCTTACAAGGGAGGGGCTTCATCACCTCCCTAGAAGGAGGTTTAGTTACCCATGGGAGCCTTAGAAGAAGGAAGAAGCTTGGTTGCCACCTCCATTTTCGAGCTCCCTTTCCTTGGCTTCAAGAACTCTATCTTTTTCCTCCTCTTTCTCTCTCCACAAATCTTGCAAAGATCAGATATGATGTTATGTGTGGTCCTCTTCCTTTTGTAGACATTCCTCTCCACCAATCAAGGCTCAAAACCCCACCAAAAGACATCTCCAACCAACCCATAAAGATGGAAATCAGAGATAAGGGAAACAAGGTGCAAGTGGGCTGAAGTGATGGTTCCCGGAGAGTAGTCTGCCCATAGTTCGAGCACTCGAACTAAGCACTTCGAGCGCTCGAAGTTAGACCAGTATACTCCTTCCTCTTGACCTACTTTGCACTACTTTGGTAGAACAGCCATAACTTTCTGCTCCGAACTCCAAATGACGAACCATTTAAAGATTTGGAAAGTTAATTCAAAGCTCTAAATATGTAATGTTTTAATGGAAGTCCAGTTCTCGAGTTTGATCGGTCAAAAATGGCGAGCAAAGTCAGATTTCACTGCTGCCAGATCTTAGCCTAGAACACATTGCTATTCAAAGATTGAATAAAACTCCATTTTTGCTCCTTTTTGGCCAATGAACCTGAAAATATATAAAAACGTGCAAATAAAGATAATTTATAAAGAATAATCAAATAATGGATTTAACTAATGCAGCTAAAGGCGCTTGAATATGCAATATTCGGCGCTTATCAATAAGGGAATGGATTAACTAAAATGTTAAGCCCTACTTATATTCAAGTCTGGTCAGCTGAACAAGTTGAATGACTTATGGAGGATTAATTTATACTGGATAGGATGGTTACTAGATTATATATATATAAGTATGGTGTCATGATATGAGCTTGAGTCTCATGATCAATGGTTAGGGCGTGTATATCACCAGAGATGTGTAGCTAGATATAGTGTAGTTATGTACCCTGGTAGATCTAGGTACTTATGCCCACTATACGTGCGTTTTGCATGTTGCCTACTATTCAGGTTGAGACAACCCTATAGTCTAGTGAGGTTCCTTTAGTGTGTATATATATATATACGGACTACTAGTTACTGTTGGATTGACTAGGATGTATACGTGTATCGGATCTCTGCTTGGACTATAGTAGAGTAGAACTTGTTTGTGGGCCTGACCCACCATTATTTTTCAGGTGTTCGTCAGGAGTAGAGGTTGTTCGTGCTGAGCGAGGATCAGCCTACTTCATTCTTCCGATGCTACATAGGGGTTCCTTTATAATTTAGTTTCCTGATTTTGACAGTTATTGCTATCATTTGTTTAGTTTGGATTTTCTAGGGGTCCACATAGTATGGATTCCCGAGTTGTATTTTGGAGGATCAATTGTATCAGAAGAGTTTAGTAATTAATGGAAATATAATCTGAGGTTTATTATTAGATTATCATTTTAGTTTCTTGTCAACATTTTATTTATTCTTCTTTATTCTTTTGTACTCTGTGTTCATTTATTATCAATTTGTTTTGATATCCTCGGGTATTCGGGCGTGGGCCTGGCCAACCCGCATTCGGAAATCCGAGGGTATCACAGGAGTGCTAATGATTTTCTGGTGCATAAGTTACTACTCTCTGCTGCTGTTTACTTTCTATGGATGGAAAGAAATAATAGGGCCTTCAGGAACACATCCTTATCCCCAACCTCAGTCATTTCTCAGATAAAGATATGTTTAAAAGGAAGATTAGCCTCAATTAAGCTAAAGAATGCTTCTGATATGAGGAATGTTAGAAGACTTGAAGACTTGCAGAAACTGTTCTTGGATGGATGCAGCTATGTCTGTGCTCAGGCTCTAATTGTCCCTTAAACTTAGTCGCCTTCAATGGAAGTATTTACTGGTTGATGCTTACTTGGATGGTTGTTTCTTATGTTTGTATTGCATTAGGTTTACTTGAGCTTGCAGAAGGCTGAGTCTGTAGCCTTTTTTGTATTTTGCTTGCTAGGTCTGGATTCCTATCACTTGTTTTTTGCTGGGTCTCTGCAACTGTTGTGCATCTTGTTGTTTCCTATCTTATAGGTCCCTCTTGTACATTTTTCTTCATTTATACAAGCTTACCCTTTAAAAAAAAAAAACAGCAAAAACAATAGAGTTTGTGTGTTGTTATGATGTTATTGTACATGGGAACTTTTTTCACTATCAAAAAATAGAATTTGCTGTTTCTTATCCTAGGAAGTATGAGCTAGGTTGCCCTATTTGGCTGTTGTTTTTCTCTTGGCCTTTTAAGTTCATATACTATTGCTTCATTCTTTGTCTAGATCATGTAATTTTCTTTTTTCGTTTTCTTTTGCTTCCTTGGGACTGTATAGAAACTTCTTTTTTTCTTTTTTCCTCTTTCCTGGCAAACTAGGAGAAGGGAGATTGGAACACAACACACCAACTCAGGAGCTGGGCGCTTTACCGATTAGGCGTGGGTGGTGCCGAGACTATATTGAACCTTGGTGTTGTGTTTAGATTGAAATAAGCCGAGTATTGAATCTTGTATTCTATCTTGTTGCGGTGGTTACTAAAATTCTCCACAAGTCTATAAAAATTTAGAAATATTGTCAACTATTTTAGGCCTTAAACTTTAACATTGCAGCATGTGAGATAGCTTTGACAATTAATTCACTACAAATTGCATCTCAGGTAAAGGTTATTCATGTTATTCATTCCATCTCAGATAATAGGTTATTCATGTTATGTACAAGTGCTCATAATGATGAAGTTTTAGCACAACCAAAAAAAATTGATTTCTATATTGAATGTGTACTCTAAGACTATGTCAAAACAGTAAAAAATATATATATATATTTTTTCAGGTAAAATATTTTTTTATTTTTACTTTGTCAATGTTTGGCTCTAGAAAATAAAAAAATATTTTCTACATCCAAACAAACTAAACCTAAAGTAGAAACAAAAATGGATGCTAGATAAAGTCTTGAATAAACCTTCCTAGTATACCAAATAGATAAAAAAAGAATCTAGCTAAATTAACTGGTTGGCATCTTGAAACGGCAAAGCGGACAAGAGTGGTTCATCTTAAGCCACTTAGTAATGCATTCTCCATGATAGATGTGAGAGCAGGGCATGCGAATGATGGATTGTTCATCAGAAAATTCCTCCAAACAAATGGTGCAAGAGCGATAGAATGTCGTCTTCTCCAAGGCGTCAATGGATGATTGACTTGCGGGTACAGGCTTCAACCCCACGTACATAGACTCCTGTATAGCCCGAGCCATTCGTGTCATGGACGCTTGTAGAATCCGAATCAGTGGCAAATCATCACAATCATCAAGATGGGACTCACGCTTGTCGTCAATCTCCTCATCAGAGGATGTCTCGATTACTATGTTAATAACAACTGCGGGTATGGTATTGTCTGGAATACCACTTCTATGGTGGTGGATGGCGCGCATTGAAGAGAGGACATTGTGATACATCCAGTCATCACGGGTAACTCTCAAGCGGAACACGAAGTGATTGAAAAATCTGCGCGACAAGTCATTGGATTCTATGACACACGACGGCATAGGGTACACGTGTGGTGGTAGTGCGATTGACTTCCACCATACCACTGTTGTATCTATGGTTATGTACATCTACTTTCAAGCAAACCGTATTAGATGGTTCATATGACATTCGCAATTCTCTGAAAAAAGCTGGCCATGTGGACCATTGTTGCGTTCTTCGATTCACCATCTTCAACCACGACCACAAGTGAACCGAACCGGAAAGACAGAACCTATCCCGATACTTCTGGAAAGGGAACCGGGAAGGGGTTAGGGTTTGGTTCCTTAAAAGAATTCTTCCTTTCCTTCAACAAATTCCTGATTTCACAAGGAAAATTGGCAAAGGAAAGGCAAGGTAAAATTAGATTAGGGTTTTCTTTTTTCAATTATTATTATTATTATTATTTTTTTCTTCTAAAAATGAGCTTGGATCGACTACATTAGTCTTTTTTACATAGGCTTATGTGTTTTATTATTAGGTAAAGTGAAAAAAAAAAAAAAAAAAAAAAAAAAAAAAAAAAAAAAAATTACTCTATATACAAAAATGTCCAAATATTCTTTGGTGTTCAAAAAAAATTATTAGTTATTTTACATTTTTCAATTTGTGCAAATGAGGACAATTCCTTAATTTCAAAACTAAAATACCTAAAATGTCTTTAGGACAAAATAAAATTTTAAATTTAAATAAGAATAATTTTAAATTTAAATCAATAAAAAAAAAAAAGGCATTTTAATAACAACCCCATATTTTATTTATTTTTAATTTTATTTTTTTAAATATATATATATATATATATAATTCCCTTAAGAGTATTTTGGGGTTCTAGAAAAAAATTGGTCAAAATTGTTAATCGGGGTAATTATTTTCAAAATACAGGATATTTGCACTTTTTTATACTCCGTATATATATAATAATAGGGTATTTTATTTCAAGAAATAGCTTGTTTACATGTATGGATTGGACTAAAATTCTTTACATTATGTTGGACTAAAAACTTATATACAACCAAAGGGTCTTTGGCCCAATGGTATAACCTCTTCATCTTTAAAGAAAATGAGAGGGGTTCGAGTCTCGGTGCGAGAAAAAAGTGTGTGTATTTATTTTACCATCCAAAAAAAACTAATATACATTAGTAGGGGTTAGGGTTTTGTGGACCCCGCTTTATTAAAGCAAATTTTTCCTTTTCTTAAACGAATTCCTACTATCATCACAAGGAAATGAAGAAACCGAACAGAGTAAGCAAACCCTTAGATCACCCTTTAAAAGATTTGAAATTAGATTAGTGTTTTATTTTTATTTTTTGAAAATGGACTTGGATCTTTATAGCCCATTTTTAGTTGGACTTTTAATTTTGACTATAGTAATGTTTTTTACAAGAGCTTATGTGTTTTATTATTATTATGTACATTTTTTTTTCTTTGACATTATTATTATTATTATATATTCTTTTTTTTTTCTTTTTCTTTTGCGGGACTGTGGTCAATTGGCTATAAGCATGTATTCAACTCTGCTGTTATGGTTAGAGTATTGAATCTTGTACGATTTAGTTTCATATTAGCTTCTCTTTAATTAAAAAGTATATTACAATATTTTTTTTTTTTTTTTGGGAGGGTCTAAGAAATTATATACGTTCTCAAGCAACTATTCAGATATTTTAACAGACAGTTGTACAATTATCAATAAATAAACAACAGCATAAATAGTGATTATGTCTAAAAATAAACAAGAAGCCGAAAGAGGAAACCTTCATTATATACCAAAATAAATTCATTGGATACAGAATGGGGTATCAAGTGGTTGGCATCTTGAAACGGCAAAGCTGACATGAATGGTTCCTCTTAAGCCACTTAATAATGCAATATTCATGATAGACGTGAGAGCACACCGTGCGAGTAATTAACTCTTCGTCAGAGAACTTCTCCAGACAAATTGTACAAGATCGATAGAATGTCATCTTGTATAGCCCGAGCCATTGACGACCCATTCATACCCCGAGTCATGGCCGCTTGTATTGCCCGAGCCAATGGAAAATTATCATCAATATAGAACTCAACCACCTCTATCACAGGATCATCGTCATCTTAAGAGCTTGTCTCGCTGTAACTCCGACGGCAGCTTGGGACTTAGATTTTTCGACGGTAGCGACGATACACAAATAACTTCACTACCCCCATTTCATTTATTCAGAGACACAAATTACATAGAACACTCTCTTACTCTCTCCCTATGCATCTCACCAACGTCATATTCTTCAACCTCTTCTTCCTCCGTAGCCACTTCGGCCTCATCGGTGGCCCGATAAGATCCGAACCTCAACTCCCCTGCACATCATCTCTCAATCGTCTTCTCCCCTTGCAACCAATCTCTAATCCTTTCCCCCTCTCCCCACTGTCACATAATCACCCCCACCCTCCATTACCACCGTTATCTTTATGCCCCGACACCTCCTCTTTCTTCATCCTCCACTGCAACCTCCACCACAATAGCCACTAACCCCATATTCATCACCACTTGACCTCGAAAGCGATGCCCAAGACTACATATATATATATATATATGGGGAAGAAGAAGAATATGGATTAAGAGGCTGTTGAGACAAATCTTGGCGTGTGGGAGTGTGATATAGAACAGGTTTGAGGCGGACGGATCAGTGATGAACACTGAAATTTCCGGCCTGAAGCGGATGGATCAGACGGGAAGACAGAGGATGAGTGCAGTGAAGAGGGTGATTGCGTATATATTAGGGAAAATTACATATAAATGGAGTTAAAGTTTCATATTTACTTAGAGACTGAGTCAAAGTTCCATATTTATCTAAAATGGATTGCTGAGGTGGCACATGGTTTTTTACTGTTTAGAAAATTGTGGTGCCTAAAATGCCCTTCCCTAACAAAAAAGTAGTACCTTCAGTTCAAAAAAGTAGTACCTTCAGTTCAAAAAAGTAGTACCTTCGAAGAAAAAGTAGTACCTTCGCGGGTGTTTAAAAAACATGGTACCTGGATACCAAAAAGTAGTACCTTCAGTTCAAAAAAGTAGTACCTTCGAAGAAAAAGTAGTACCTTCGCGGAAGGGTATTTTAGGCACCACAATTTCTAAACAGTAAAAAACCATGTGCCACCTCAGCAATCCATTTTAGAGAAATATGGAACTTTGACTTAGCCTCTAAGTAAATATGGAACTTTGACTCCATTTATATGTAATTTTCCCTATATATTATATACTCCTTTGGACATTTTGGAAAAAATAAAAAGATAAAATGAATATTACAACATTGATTTCTGACATAAAAGTAATTTTACACAATGTCAAAAGAATAGGGGATATTTATTGCGCTTTTTTAAATAGGGAATAACAGGGGTATGCAAATTATACTTCAATGGTGCTTTCTGCACTTATCCCTATATAGCTCGCATTCTTGAGATCCACTTTCAAACTTCTCTCTCTCTATCTGCCGGATTCAAACAACAACTCAGCTAGGGTTAGAAAGTTAGGGTTTTGATTTGATACAAATGTTTGTGTGTGTATATATATATATATATAGATCTAAAAATCTCATAAATGTCTATATATATATATATATATATATATACATATAAATACACACAGACACTTATTTGCCATCATTGATTTTGGGTATATGTTAGTTGCCACTTTTAGGTCTGCTTTTTAATTTTTTTGTAAATCTCACCCTTTACTTCATTTTGAAAAAGAACACAACCAAATATAGTCCCAAACACCCACCTAGCCAAACAGATGCACTGAGAATTTCCCTTGACATGAAAATCAGTAATTAGAACCAAATATAATCCCAAACACCACTTACCTAAACAGATTCGTCAAGTATTCGTTGATTTAGAAATCAGTAATCACAACCAAACAGGTTCACCGGGAATTTACATATCATTGAGTTGTTGGAAAAAGTATAGCCCTTGACATTGGCGCCACAAACTTCTCCTTGAGGGACTATTCATGGCCTCTCTGCTTAATCCATTTGTTTCTTTTCTTCAAAGGTCCACTTGATGAACAAATTAGAAAGAGAAAAGTTCATAAAGCAGAGAGAAAAATTGTATATAACAGTGATTGAGTAATATATGTTTTGCAATGTAAGTGGTTTCGTGAGAATGGTACTTTTGTCCAGGTGAAGACGTAATTTAAGTTGACATGAATGGACAATTTCGTCTTCTTACAACAAGTAGGTTGTGTTTGTTCAAAACGCAAAAAAAAAAAATACTGATATATAAATTTTGTACAAAAATAGTCCCAACGGTTTTTAAAATATGCATTTAAGCCTATAAAATTCAAAAAATGTATAAATAAGCCCATTTGACCATTTTTTAATTAAAATTAACATAAAATAAATTCAAAAACCCTATTTTACCCTTTCCTTTTCCTATTCTACCCTTCTCTCCTACCCTCCACCTCCACCACCCCCACCCCCACCCCCACCCCCACCATCCCCAACCCCGTCGGAGAGAACCGAGGATTTGCAGCCAGTGGATTGGACAAGGGCAATTTATGAAGGGTTTGAATCTGAGGAAGGGGCTAACCCATCTTTTTTTTCTTTTTTTTTTTTCTTTCTCGTCTCTCCTAAAGATAGGTTCATGTGCTGGTTTTAGGTCCCTTTACTTTTCACTTCAGACCAGGGCTGAGGTCAACAAGCAGGAATTGAAGCTTGCTGTGTAATTGAATAAAGAAAGAACCCTGCCTCCAGCTCTATCAGCTATGGAACAGCTATCATACCCAAATTCTTTTTATGGGAAACGACATCTTCTTTTCATTATTTAAAGCTGAAATTGATAGTTGTTCACATTTTGGTCCCGTGGATTTTCCCATCTCTTCACAATTTTTGTGGAACTGAAAAGCTTCATATTGCCCTAATTTCTAACCAAGATTCAAATTTGCTCTCAAATTGTCCTTCAAATCCCTAGAATTATTTTAACTCAATGGGCCAACAACAATCCAAAGACGAATTGTTGAATCAGCAAGTTAATTATGACAACACAGAATGGATCTTTCATCATCTCCATAGTCCATATACCTACCTCCCGACCGCTTAGGCAATAGAAACCACTGGAACTAACAAGGCTTCCAAATCACCCGAAGAAATTGCGAAAGAAAAGCAAAAGACAAGATTCGAGGAATTGGTGAAAAGGTTGGGGACCCAAGGATCAACCGATTTGCCTCTACTGTACAATGGAATATTAGTCATATATTCCTAGATATGCACATGTACATCACGACCTACAAAGGAAAAAATAAAATAATTAATTAATTAATTAAATTATCTAAAATGGTAATTTTACATTGCTTAATTTTTTTTAATATTATTTCATTTATATTAGAGAGGGTATAAATGTCTTTTTAAACGAGTAGGGGCTAATTGCACTAAATTGATCGTATATGGGGGTTTTATAATATATATGGACTGTTTTGCACTATATGAATAGTAAAGAAAAATTTTTTTGCAATTAACCCAAACTTTTCTTACCCCACAACCCAACTCACCAATGGAAGTCAGTTGCAAGGTCAATAAGAATAGAGGGGTAGTTGACTAATAAAACATGGATCAGTTGCGAGGTCAATAAGAATACAGGGGTATTTGACTAATAAAACATGGATCCAAAGGGTGCACGAGATGACATGAGGGGTAATTTGTGTAATTTGTTCAATTTTAAAATGAACTCAAACTTATAAGGTTTATCTACTCCATTTATAAATATCTTATACACTTGACCTTATAATGTACTTCAAAAAAGATTGTCTCTTTTAAAAAATCGTGACTCTCAAATTGAAAAGTCATTATTCCTCCAAAAGTAACACTATTTTTGGAATGGAGGGAGGACTAGAAAGAGAGAATTGTGTCATATGAGGAGGGATCCATAGAGAGAGAACATTGTGTCTATTGTGGAGGGCTACCGGCGGAATCCAACGATGGAGCTGAAGATGCCGTGCCGGTATACACGAAAATATTTTATAATTATTTTATTCTATTGTGTCTGTACAACAAAATAGGGTTTGGTATATAATCTTTAGCAAATCAACAGTTCGATGGATTTAAGTTAAAGGCTGAGATGAATTCTTACTTTGATGATGGGCTAGTAATTTTCTCTTTGGGCCTTGTTAATGAAATCATATGATTTGGGCCAAATTTATTACATATATATGGGCTTGAACCTTTTAAATGAAAAATAGTAATAACCGGCCTTTATTAAAGAACTTGTTCACGAACTCATGAGCCCAACTCTGTTCAGGCTAAACTTGTTTATTAAACAAGCCTAGAAATCGAGAGCAGAGTTGAGAGTTGAGCTCAGCTCGTATGAGCTCAACTTATTTACTTAACTAACAAGTCCAAGTTGACCATGAACAAAGTTCCTTCTTACACTTCACTTTTTTTCACTCTCAGTTTTCACCATTTTTTTCAATTTTTTCACTTTTTTTCTAAATCAGATTTGTGCACAATTAACTCTCGTTTTTTCAGTGTTCCTCACCAAAAGGGATTAGCATTCGCAATTATCTCTCTCTTTCACAATGACTTCTGCCCAATAAATCATTTTTTCAATCAAAACTTATGTTCTCAGCATTCAAATGCAGTATAAATTTCCAATATATTGAATATTTGTTACATGCCTTTTCATAATTAAAACTACCACTCACTTGAAAAATTTCCCAACCCCCACCCCTGTAAACCATGGTTTCAAATTTCAATTAACAAACAGATGCCTAAACACAAAGAGTCAAAGGTAAAATGTAAACACTAATAGAACAACTCATTTTTTTATGGCATGAATTCCATGGCAAGAGCTACTCGCTAAAAATTATCTTCGAAAACAGTTCAAACATAACAAATGCATGCCTAAATTCAGAAGGTCAACAAAAATTAATCTTGATGAAGCAGGAATCAGGCACATTTACTGAAATTAACCTCGTCCAATTTCGCAATTCTGAGTAGATGTCATAGCAACCTCAACAACCTCAATCTTCAAATTCAAAAATTGATGTATGCACAAACAGCAAATCATTCTACAATCAGATCAAAAACTTCAAAAAGCCTCTCTCCTTCAATAAATTAGCAATCTGAGGTCATACAAAAAACTGAATTCGACAAGGGAAGGGATGGTTTAGCTAAGGAATTTAACGCGGTTTCATACACAACTGATAAATTCCATCCCTCAAAAAAATTAAAGAAAACTACATAAGTTAATTGCCTGTAGTTGAGACCTCAGCTTTCTTATCCTCCGTCTGCAAACATTCAATTGCCCTAAATGGCGGGGCTTCACCAAATTTCAGTATGTAAGCAGTTTCATAAACAGGACGCAGTGCCAAAATCACTTGAGCATCCAAATATGCATCACAGGTGAAACACCAAACTGACAGATCACTGCTTCCAAAAGTAAACAAACATAAAATGAAAAATATACTGTCAATGAAAGTAAAACGAGAAAACGGAAGGAATTCTATTATATATATATATATATATATATATAGACACACCTGTAGCTGAGTGCCAGACAATGATTTATCTGCTGATAGTGATCAAGCATATGCTTGTTCACAAAACGGCTGCAAAGAACATCCTTGCAGGATAGACATAACCAATTCTCCTTGGGATGGTGACACCTTCATTGAGTAGTAGAATAGGTTAAAAATGTGTTTTCTTGTTAAAAATACAACCTTTGAATACAAAAAGAGGATATAAAACCCCAACACAGCTGTGTTGGCTGGAATCTCTTGGTGGATATCAATGGCATAAATCAAACAATTTTCAAACAAACATATTTCCATGTCGCAGCTATAAAGTTGAGTTCACTTACACTTCTGGATAAGAGGCAGTAACAGTCAATTTCAATTTCAATTTCAATTACAACTAATAGTGCTTCAAAAAATGATTCAATTAATTTGACTCCGGAAAGATTTCTCCTACTTTTAAGTACACTTGAGACCGTATGGCCAGGATCAACTCAAATCAAAATAAATTCATGAATAGGCATTCTTCAGGGGGAGTAGAGAATGTTCATAATGATAACACTTGGTCGTAGGTATGGCTCATATCTCCCGCACAACATGCATATCTAATAATTCAAACTTATAATAAAATTATTCATAAGCTCCTTTATTATGTTTATTTTCTTCATGATGAGTAAAAACACTATTTTATTCTTTAAAAAAAAAAAAAAATTTATTATATAGGTTTGGGGATTTGAAAAAATTTAAAACTTGAGACACATGCTTGCATCTGACACATGTACCTATGTTCATTTAGCATCGGAAGTATCATAGGTTACAAAGAAAATTCAATCAGATTTTAATAATTTCCTAACCTTGAAGTAAACTAATAGGAAACACTGCTTGGTGGTAGAAACTTAAGCTAACAAAATGAAAAATGCTTTAGTTGCAGCTACTTTGTGTACTTCAAATGGAGGACGGGTCTATACCTATTATAGATTTCCCAACACCCTGAAGGTAAGGGACCATCTTTAGCTAGTGTCCTCTACGGCATGAATGAAGATACAATGTATGATACTCATCTTCAAATATGGCAGTTCGCCATTTTGCGCTTTAATTAAGACCAAAATCAGCAGTGGTATCTAACAGCAGTTCTCAAAGTATGCACATAATCTCTCCCCCTAACTTGTTATAAACTGGAAACTCAGTTGACAATATTACTTACAAATTTGTCACTTGTTGCATACAATAATAACCCATATATAAAAAAATTACAGAAATTCAAAATCAATTAAATCCGCCAAAAAGATCCAAACTGTTTAGTATTATTATATATATACACAATTTGTAGATCATTAGCTGCACAAGGGTATCAGTACTGTTGGTGATTAGGCATTCTAAACTTACTTACACTAATGTTGCATTCCTAAACAATTGATTACCAAAAAATAAAAACCATTGCCCCTTCTGTTTTCCCTCCCAACAAAACTTTTCAAAATAAAAACATAATTTTATATCTTGGTCAATTTTTAGTTCCAAAGGAAGATAGATATAACTCAGGCCATAAATTGATAATAATACTAAAATTAATCTGTTATGATCTTCTTCAATTTTTTCTCGGCAAGATAAATTTTCATTAAAAAAAATACCCATCACTAACATTTAGGGCTAATGCAAAATTAGAATACTTCCAGACCCATGACAAGAAGATACATACATACATACATATAGTATTCAAATTTATAATAATACTAAATTTAGTCTGTTATGATCTTCTTTTTCTCTCAGCAACAGAAAATTTCAAAAAAAAAAAAAAAAACGAAGGTTAAAATCCATCAGTACCATTAGGGTTAATGCAAAATTAATTCCAGACCCATAACATGAAGATACACACGAATATATATATATATGTGCGTGTAGTATTCAAATATAAAATAGTAGGGTTCAAGAGAAGATAAAGGACCTGTTGCAGGGAGTGTCTGGGGTGGGGATGTGGGTGAGATCAGAGGACAAAGAAGCCAAGTGGTCGCAAGTGGTTCGGGCTTCGACCCAACCCGATTCGGACCCGAAAAACAACTCCTCGTTGAATTCTTCATTTTCTGGTATAGGAGCAGAGAGCAAGGAAGAAGAAGAAGAAGCTTTGTTCGCCATTGTTGGACTTCGCTGTTTCTCAATTGAAGTGAATTGAACATGGTCACCCAATTCGTGAATACGTGATTTATACCCTTCAACGGCGTCGTTCTCACTCCCACCTTTATGAGCTTTTTCATTGGACTTTTTACTCATTTTGATTCCTTAATCATTGTGCAATGTACATGTGTGCAAAATGGCTATTCAAAGAACCACTATATATTCCCCAAAAAAAAAAACAAAAAACTATACCCACACTATTACAAATTTGCAATCTAGATATTGAAAAGATTAGTTCTCACATGTGATAATGTAAATTATTCTCACCGTTGATGTGAACTAATAAAAAATGAACACGTAGAGGATGTACAATATTATGTACTATGAAGATACCAAAATAAGTTGGTCCGTGCATGACACGTCCCATTGACCACAAGATCCAAAAGGAGTTTTCAGCCTGGTCGGAAGACAGCCCAATAGGCCCAATTTTGAGGAAGAGGGACTGAATCCACCTAAAAGAAGAGGCCCAAAGGATCAGCCCAGCTGGGATGATAAAAGAGGAATTTTCTAGAATACTTGTAAAACTCTATAAATAGAGGAAAAAGAGAGGGAAAAGAGGTTGAAATATTTTGACGTGTAAGAAATTGTCTTTCCATATTGAGAGAATGGCTTTCTATAACTTAAATTGGCGCCCTCCGTGGGAAACGACGGAGAGATTTGATTGAAATTCGCATATGTTACGTGTGGACTGATCAATTTCAAGGAAAGTTTGATCTATGAAAATCGAGGTCTGATTTGTGAAGATTCAGTCCTAGTTGAAGAAGGTTGAGATCCGATTCGTGAAGATCGCATAGCGCAATGGGAATCGAACCCACGACCTTTAGATTCGGATAAAAAAATGGATACAATAAAAAATAGATACGTCTTCTTTCATTATTAAATTTAAGATAGTGTTTGGTAATTAAAGTATATGTATCTATTTATTATTAGTCTACATAAACGATGGGGACATTGTATATCCCCAAATAAGGACTTAAGTATTAGGGATAATTACGTATAAATGGGGTTAGGGCTCCGTATTTACTCGGAGGCGGAGTCAAAGTTCCATATTTCTCTAAAATGGATTGCTGACGTGGCACATGGATTATTACTGTTCAAGAAATGTTTTGTCAAAAATACCCTTATCACTATTTCAGCACATTTACCTTATTGCCCCCATTTAATTTAGTCACCCAAATTGTTGCCCTAAAATACACACACAGTCGTGCATCACATATCCATCTCACATCAGCGCCCCCCCCTCTCTCTAACCAACGAAGCAAGACCAGGCAACCCATCTCGGCACACACCATCACCGAACATGGAGCCCTAACCCTCCCTCATCTCATTCGTGAAGAGCCCTCAAGAGCCCCCTCTCTTTCTTTCTCCCCCCCCCCCTCCTCTGTGTAACAGGATTAAAGCATCCTTGGTTGAGCCCTAACCCTCATTCAAGCCCTCTCTTTTTCCCCCTCTATAACAGCGAAGCACTTCTCCACGTCTAACCGTCATTGGTGCGCCTTCTGTCTCTGCCCCTCTCTATAACCCAGCGAAGCATTTCTCCACTTCTGCCATTCATTTATTGTTGTTCTTGAACTGAAGTAAGTACTCTCTCTTTCTCTCATACACACACACGTTTATTTTTTAGATGATTATGGCCCTGATTTAGTGGTATAATTTTTTTTTTTTTCCAATTGGATGTCTGATTTTCATCTAGGTTATGTTTATATGTATTCTCCTCTTATAAATTCTATTATGCAATCATATATATATATAATTTCTATTCTGCAATCAAGATTGTTGTTGCTCTGTTTGTTGTATATGTTTGAAATGTGCGTAACAAAATGTTGCACAAATTTGGGGTAATTATAAGGGCTCATTTAAAAAATTATAAGGTAGTTCCTCCCCTGCACATGAATTATAATTTTTACATCTAACATTTTAAAATCCATTCTAATTACGTTAGTTTTAGCCTGCCTCTTTGTCTACTACCAAAAAGGACATGAAAAAACAGTATATAATTGGAGAAGAAGAATTCAATAATCTCAAATTTTCAATCAGTTTTTTAGTCAACTAATATAAATGAACACCAAAATCTATGTCACGGGTATATATTGACGGGTATAACAGACAATACAGTTTAGGTATAACAAGAAAGATGTCTGTAACAAGAAGACATGGAGAAGAAAACAATGAGAGAAAAGACAATGAAGAAGATAACAAGAGGAAAAAAACCTGGTAGATTAATAAATAATCTCCTATTGTGTACAGAATCACAACACTTACTCCAAAAACAAATATTATATATATATATATATATATATATATATATATATATATATATATAATATTGTGAGTTGAGTTGAGAATTTCACTTGACAGAGCTTTGATGTCAAATAAATAAAGAAAGACAAGTTTCATAAATGAGGAGTGAAGAGGTTAAGGGAACACTGACAATATTTCTTTGTATTTTGCTCTGTTTTGAAAAGGCCACATGAGAGAGCTCTCTCTCTCTCTCTCTTTGAGGTGGATCTGTTTTTTTTGGTCCAAAACTCTGGCACTACAATCAAACCAAAGACACCACCTTTATGTGAAGGTGAATACGGATACTACTTCTCTTTGCACGAGGGAAGGAATTAGAATCAAAATCAAAATAAAATTAAAAACAGCTAATGGGTGATATAAAGTTTTCAATTCCTAGCAGATAAGTGCAGTACTACTAAAGTCTCTTTTAAGAGATACGCATTAAAACATGGTAGAGTTTATAGATTTTTGTGGGGATTGCTTTATTAAATCTGCCTATGCTCTTTTAGCTGCATTATATATTTTAATGAATATCGAGATATACAGGGTTTTACCCAACTAATTCTCGTAGCTCCGAAAGAATCATTTGTACTCATGAAAGCGTACTCTCAAATATATATTTATACTTATGAGGAATCCAATTTTAAATCTGGTGCTTCATGTACTTTTAATATTGTCCCTACATGTAATGTAACTTGAAAAGTGTACATGCAAAGTGAGGTTATAGAACTGCTCTGCATACATTACTGATCAAATTAAGGGTATGAATTGTATACAAATTAAGTAGAATTAAATATGGTAGTGTGTATATATATATATATATATATTGAAAATGGAATTTAGTTTAGGTAATTCATTTAATTTAACACACTTGTTAAAGTAGTTGGGACAATCTCATACTCCTGTCCAATCTTCACTTGAGATAATGGTAATGGTTCATCTTCTAAGTAGTCATCTGTGGGTGAATTAAGGTAGTACTCTTGCAGTGGTATGAACTCGAAGTAAGAAAATGTGGGTACAACTACGAAAGTAACATTCTCCGATAGAGAAGGATTCACATTCACCCCAATCCAACTCTCTGTGGATCCATATTTTTTCAAGTATGGTTGCATTGATCTAGTCATTATAGAGTACACATACTTCACATTTGGCCATAGTTTAGGAATTAGACCAAACCAGTCTAGATCCTTCAACTCCTCACAACAATCTTGGATCCTCGAAGCCAAACATGGGTTTGGTGTGATGATGTCCAGGACAACTTTGCTAATCTTTGGCAAGATGAATTTTGGAGTAAGAGTGCATTCTTTAATGTCATTGCATATGTCTTTCCATAGCTCGTCGAATGATCGAAATGCTTGGACTGTGCTGTAAGCGAATGTTAACGTTATGAACTCTACTTGATCAGAGAAGAAGAGGCCATGGAGGAGGTAACAGTATGTGGATTGTTTATAGTCACCACTTGAAATGACCTCCTCGGGGCTGCAAGTGAATGACTTAGGTTTTTCCTGTTTGATCTTGAACTCTTCACTTGCAAAATAGTGGGTTGTGGCTGTTCCGGGCCTTCCGGCTATTAAACCTTCCTTCGTTTTTAACTGTTTGCTGCTATATATGAACTCTAGGATCCTTCCCCCTTCCCTTATTAGGTAAACCCTACGACCATCAACATCCAAGGAAAAGAACTTTAGAACAATTTCGGTAAAAGAAATAAAAATAAAAATAAACTTTACCTACAAGAAATAAGATAAAAACAATTTTAAAAAAGTCTTGACATAAGATATTTTTGATTATTGAGAAGAGCAATGTTATTCAATCCGAAAGTTTAGGTCAACTAAACAATGCAACTAGTAAATGACAAATATATATGATCTTCACGTGAGGTTTCTCTCACTTCTTAATGTTTCTGTAGCTATATAATTACCCACATGTTTTATTCTTCCTTTTATGTATTCCATTGGGTTAAGTGATGCTTTATATATACTTCGTATAAGTGTGTTTTACCTATCATTAACGTGCTTATTCCGATTAATTCTGAATAATGTGTATTGAATTAATGAATTAGGAATATATGAGTACTTCCAAGTGCCTGTGTAAGCTAGCAGATTTCAGTAAATGAATTATGAAAGACACCCATATCATGAACCTATTAGACAGAGATGTGTAAGTCCTTTTTGTCAAATCATGACGGTACTACTTTTCATATGTCTGTGAATTGGGCTCTATAAATAGACATATGACATATGCACAAAACTATAACATTAGCACTAGTAAGTCTCAGTTATTCATGTATGGAGCAAAAGTATATAGAGCGAAAGTACTCGTTAAGAGATGCGTGGATTGAAAGTAGTTGTTATACATTCTCAATCGTTCTCAAAACTATTCCATTTTTTACTCCTCACATCGATGGTTCATTTTTTTTTTTTAATGACGCCAGGCATGTAATCATCTCCTCCATCGGGATTTGGTGTGTATTTATTTTTCAATGTGTTCAACTGTGTATTTATTTTTCCTTCAATAAAATAAGTGATTGTGTTTCTACAAATGTGTACCCTGTATAAAGTTGAGAAAATGAGAATTCCCTCATGGAAATATAAATGGTTGTGTTGTGCTTGCCAACGTAATAATATTTAACAAAATTGAAATATCGCAGTGGCCAACGTGCCTTAAGTGACCATATGATCTTATATATTTAAATCAGTTGATCCTTGCAAGACCTGACCTTTTCTTGGTTTTGTTTATTTATGTATGTTGTTTTCTTCGTGCTTTTTGGTATTATTTGGATTCGCTATATTTTGTTTGTCAATGAGGATGACATCCATTTGATTCATAAATTACAATTTTGCTCTTTCCTTTTTGTGATTAGCATACTGAATTTCAGACTTCTATGATGCAGCTACTTGGATTTTGTACCATGGACAAATGAGGTGGTTTTTTTTATAAGTGCAGACACTAAGGCTCAAGTGCTAGAAGGTTTATAAATTTGGATCCAGCTGGTTTTTTTTTGTTTGAATCTTGCTTTTGTTTAGTAGTGTCATCCCACTTTATCATCTTATCTCTATAGACAAAATTTGCAGTCGTTGAGAGCTCCGTTCTGGGTGAAAAACCTCGAAGAACTAAGGGCACTTATCAGAACTTTTTCCAAGGTACTACTTTTTTAAGGAACTGGCTTAAAAGCAGCTTCTTTACCTATCAAGTAGAGAATTATTGTGTTTAGGATATATTGTACAATTAAAAAAAAATTAAGATGCATAATAAAGAAACAATGTTCCTAGTGATGTTGGAGTATATTTTGTACTATTCATTTCCTCAAGTTAGCTAGATTGGGAATAAAGTTTGTACTCTTTATGGCACTAATGGATTTATTTGTGGATGTAATGTGCAACTTAATTAGCGGTGTGGGGTGTAATACCATTTTCAATTGCAAAAATAAGTACCTTGCGCGAAGGTACTACTTTTTATCCAAAGGTACTACGTTTTTGAACTGAAGGTACTACTTTTTTCTCCAAATGTACTACGTTTTGAAAACACTACTACCATATTTTGTGAACACCCGCTTATTATTTGGTTGAAAATATTTTGTGTTGCTGTTGTTATGAGATTAGAGTGGAATTAGGTAGAGGGAAAAAAAAAAAAGTTCTTTTTTTAGGCAATATAAAAACAGACCTGCTCCAGATGACTTGAATAGCAAATAGGAGTAAGTGATTCTAATTTGACTATGGTATGGACATGATTAGACAGGCCTCTATCATGAGGTCATTATCAAAGACAATGCAACAACAATAAGGCAATTTACTTCCAGTATGTGAACTAACCCCTCGGTCAGATTTATTCATGAACCATATGTACTAAGATCAGGAAGATACTTCGTCTAACCAACACTCGCACAACTTGCACACCAAATATAAATGAGTGGGATGCATAAAACTAATAACGGATAGTATCTTCAATGTTTATTCATGGTTCTCGAAGAAAAATAACATTAAAACACGCTAAACATATGGTGATACTTAAACTAAAACTTGTTTAAGTATGAGAGAACATTGAAAGTTAAACAGACGGTGTGAGAGGGATTGACAAGGGTTAGGGCCGGGCTTGAACTTGTAATCTTCATTATTATTATTATTAAATTTTTTTTTTTTTTTTTTTTTTTTTGCGTAATAAAATCTGTTTGCCAATTTTTTCGTTGAACGTAAGTTATATGTCAAACCACGAAAATGGAAAATTGTGTGATACATAATTAAAGAAGACCGATTAACTTTCGGAAGGAAAAAAAAAATAACAATTGAACATTATTAATTTTTTTTTATCTTATTGAACATTGATTTTTCATTTTTTTTATACTGACTTATTAAACAAATACTTAGGTCTTCCTTCTAGGATCATGTATTTCTTTCAAATATGTATATGGTTAATTTTTGTATAAAACAATGATGACACAAAAATAGATGTGAAGTGTTGTCAAATCATCACATGACTAAAGTTAGCAAAAGTGGTACTAGGTGCATAAGGTACTACTAGGTGTTGTCAAATATTCCCTCTGGTGTTGTGCGAAGGTCCTACTTTTTCTTCAAAGGTACTACATTTTTGAACTGAAGGTACTACTTTTTTCTCTAAAGGTACTATATTTTTGAACTGAAGGTACCATGTTTTCTAAACACCCGCTTAGCTAGGTTAGAGAATATTTTGTATTTTTCATGGCTTCCAAAAGACCTATTTATTGATGTAATGTGCAATTTAATTAGCGGTGTGGGGTGTAATACCATTTTCAATTGCAAAAATAAGTACCTTGCGCGAAGGTACTACTTTTTCTCCAAAGGTACTACATTTTTGAACTGAAGGTACTATTTTTTTCTCCAAAGGTACTACATTTTTGAACTGAAGGTTTTGTGCTTTTCATGGCTTCCAAAGGACCTATTTATTGATGTAATGTGCAATTTAATTAGCGGTGTGGGGGTGTAATACCATTTTTAATTGCAAAAATAAGTACTTTGTCCGAAGGTACTACTTTTTTTCCAAAGGTACTACATTTTTTAACTGAAGGTACTACTTTTTTCTCCAAAGGTACTACATTTTTGAACTGCAGGTTTTGTGCTTTTCATGGCTTCCAAAGGACCTATTTATTGATGTAATGTGCAATTTAATTAGCGGTGTGGGGTGTAATACCATTTTCAATTGCAAAAATAAGTACCTTGCGCGAAGGTACTACTTTTTCTCCAAAGGTACTACATTTTTGAACTGAATGTACTACTTTTTTCTTCAAAGGTACTACATTTTTGAACTGAAGGTTTTGTGCTTTTCATGGCTTCCAAAGGACCTATTTATTGATGTAATGTGCAATTTAATTAGCGATGTGGGGTGTAATACCATTTTTAATTGCAAAAATAAGTACTTTGTCCGAAGGTACTACTTTTTCTCCAAAGGTACTACATTTTTGAACTGAAGGTACTACTTTTTTCTCCAAAGGTACTACGTTTTTGGAAAATATTTTGTGCTTTTCATGGCTTCCAAAGGACCTATTTATTGATGTAATGTGCAATTTAATTAGCGGTGTGGGGTGTAACACCATTTTCAATTGCAAAAATAAGTACCTACGCGAAGGTACTACTTTTTCTCCAAAGGTACTACATTTTTGAACTGAAGGTACTACTTTTTTCTCCAAAGGTACTACATTTTTGAACTGAAGGTTTTGTGCTTTTCATGGCTTCCAAGGGACCTATTTATTGATGTAATGTGCAATTTAATTAGCGGTGTGGGGTGTAATACCATTTTCAATTGCAAAAATAAGTACCTACGCGAATGTACTACTTTTTCTCCAAAGGTACTACGTTTTTGAACTTAAGGTACTACTTTTTTCTCCAAAGATACTACGTTTTTGAACTGAAGATTCCATGTTTTCTAAACACCCACTTAGATAGGTTGGAGAATATTTTGTATTTTTCATGGCTTCCAAAGGACCTATTTATTGATGTGAGTGTTGTATGTTCTCACTCTAATAACTCAAACCCCCCTTGCTTATTATCTGGCTGTGGATGTTGGCTCTTTCAAAGAGTTTTAATACTTCCATATAAGTTGTTGGACAAATATAAAAACGAAAGAAAATATTATCAATGACAAACTTGAGTGTGTGAGTGCTGTATGTTCTCACTATTATAACTCATAGCCCCCTTGCTTATTATTTGGCTGTGGATGTTGGCTCTTTCAAAGAGTTTTAATACTTCCATATAAGTTGCGGCTTAAAAGAAATGGCCTAGCCACAGCAGCCAAGAGTGACCAAAGTGGTCCAAGGTGAAGACCATGTGCATATGCTTCGGGTCTTAGTTTGCTTCAACCGCGAGCACTAAAATTAACGTGACCTCTATGCCAGACACTAGCACATTTTCAGCATGTGATTATTCTATAATACCTCCAGATCTTGAAGAATAGCCATTGCAAACCAGCCATTGTGTAGAAAATCCACACTGTGCAAAACAAAGGGCCACCCTTCTCTGTCCTACTGTTCTTTCTGTATTCAACACACCAGAAATTGCACATCAAACCCAACCATAACAGACGGCAAAATAACATAATATTTTTGGCAGAAACAGCCTCCTATACTAGAATTGTAAAAATCTGAGATCTGTATATAAGGCTAAATTTAACTTATTTTGTGTCAACCAATCATTTGTAATGCTGAATGATTTACAAGTTACAGTATTTACAATCAAAGAAATATATGATATAATCATAAAATTGATTGATGCCTTTTCCAATACAATGCCTTTGCGGATAATGACTGTCATTGTTAAAATCTGAACCATCATTGATGGCATTTTACTATCTAGTAAAAATACCTACAAGGATCTGGGTTGACAGGCTTGTCTCCATTAAAATAGCTCCATCAACAAGAAAATAATATAAACTTCCCACCAGTGATATCCCTCAAAACAACCACTACCCAAAACATCAAACAGCAAATAATATAAAGTGTAATGGTTTCAAAAAAATACTAACTAGTACTTAATCAACCTCTTCAATCTTAGGGCCAGCACCACTTCCACCGGTCAAGGGTCCATCTTCAGCCATGCCACCGGCCATGTCGGGTCCGCCACCCGCCTAGTACATCTTGGCAATGATGGGGTTGCAGATGCTCTCAATCTCCTTCATCTTGTCGTCAAACTCATCTGCCTCTCTAAGCTGGTTTCCTTCCAACCACTGAATGGCCTCGTCAATCAAATCCTCAATTTTCTTCTTGTCTTCCGGTGAGAGATTAGAACTGATCTTTTGATCCTTCACAGTGTTCCTGATGTTATGGGCGTAATTCTCCAAAGCGTTCTTGGCCTCCACCTTTTTCTTGTGCTCCTCATTTTCAGACTTGTACTTCTCAGCCTCCTGAACCATCTTCTGAATATCTTCGTTCGACGACCTCCCCTTCTCATTGGTGATAGTGATCTTGTTCTTTTGACCAATTGTTTTGTCCTCAGCTGAGACATTCAAGATACCATTGGCATCAATGTCAAAGCAGATGGTGATTTGCGGAACACCTCTAGGGGGCAGGAGGAATGCCAGAGAGCTCGAATTTGCCCAACAAGCAGCCGTCTCTTGTTCTTGCTCTCTCTCTCTCATACACTTGGATCAGCACACCGGGCTGGTTATCAGAGTAGGTAGAGAACACCTGCTCCTTCTTGGTAAGAATTGTAGTGTTTCTTGGAATCAAAACAGTCATGACTCCTCCAGCAGTTTCCAAACCTTGGGACAGAGGGGTTACATCCAACAGCAATAGGTCCTGGACCTTGTCAAAAATTATATTAGAAGTCGAGGAAATTACATCTTATAAGCCTTGCTGGATTAAGAATCAAAATGAGGTTCCTTGAGGTGAATGGTAGCTTGTTGGCTGATAGAGGTGATGTTAGAATCATCAAAATAAAAAAAAACTACTTATTAACCACAAGTAAGCTGATTAAGTGCAGACACTTGAAATTAACGTGCTTAACTACAAATCACGTAATAAGTCGTGCTTCGCGCTGTACAAAATTAACCATCATTATACTTAACTAGAAAACTTAAAAATAATATTTTTTGAGTAATTATGTAAAGAACAAAACTGACTAAACAAGATTCTTGAAATTGTACCAAATAATTGAAGAAATATAATGTTACTATCATTATTGGAGGTTAGTGCATAATATGTCCCAGGAGGTAGTTAGTAGGCCAATACATATATACTCCATATCTTGTAGTCCTTATTTTGTAGCAGTAGTTCCTTATTTTGTAGCAGATTAAGGTACTACTTCTTTCCGATATTCCCTATGGCAACCACTTAGTTATCACGTATGTGTCTAACTTCTGGCTATAAAATAACACTTTTAACTACACAGTCAGACATAGCATAAGTACGTAGTTTCTTCTATACATACCAATATTTTTTAGTCATAAATTAAATTAGGAGATAATTATTATTATTAATTTTTTTTGGGTGGTAAAGCAACTACTTGACTGCCTAACCTTTTATACATAGATTTGTGCTCTATGGTAGATTGAGTTTATAAATTTGTATATAACCTCTCATCACATGGTACTAGTCACAGTTGTGTAGTCCTTGGAGAGAGTTCGGGCTTATGGGTTTTTGGTGAAGTAGCTCTGATTGTCTTTTTGGGTTAATATAATTTATAACGATTTCGATTATATATCCTAAAGAGTATGACAGTGTGCAGGGGTATTTTTCAGAGGATTATACATTCTTAAAAGGATTATAGAAACTAACCTTCTGAAGTTCACAAGAACAGGAATGACATCAGTTTAAAAAATCTTAATAACAACTTCCACTTTATCTTCACTAGATGAGAACTTATCCTGTCATTATTTACAAAAAATTGAAGTCAGTGAAGGTTTCCTGTCTCGAAACAACAGAAACTTGAGATATATCATTTTTCATATATTGGTCAAGTCAAATGCTCAAAGAATATTCTTTCAAAAGAACAAAGAGGCTCAAGAAAGATGCTGATTGCGAGTGTTAATCATCGAACACAGACAATTATGTTATGTGAAAACCATTGTAGCAGAAAGTACATAACCAATCCAATTATTTTAGTGCATAATAGGATATAGCTTATTTTAACAAATCAACCATTTAGTGGGTACATTCAATTTAAAGCCACTGTCTAGAAAGCACTAAGTTTAAAAAGTATGGAACACATATTGGTTAGTATTTAAAGAGTATGATACGAGCACAATAAGAGTAATTCCTTGCTTCTTAAGTGACTACTCCTTAAATTTGAACTCTTGTTTTTCAATTGCAATGTAAAACATTTTATAAGTGCCAGCGATCCAACCCGTAAAATCACGCTCTCTACATTTTTCCTATTAAATTAAGTGAAAAAAAAAAAAGGAGTTGCAGCCGGCTCCTTTTGTGTAGTCCCCTTATATCTAATAGTTTCTATCTTTCTTTTTAGAAAATCCAATAGCCTACAATAGCAAGATATTGACAAGATATTTAAATATTCTATACTCAAAAAACAGATAATACATTAACAAGATATATAAAGACTACCAAAAAAGAATATGGAGCTAGAGTCCCAAAAACTTTTAGGCCAATGATTAAATTGCAACGACCGTTCAAGACTCTATTTTATAAAGCCAAACTGAATATATATATATAATATTACAAGCAATAGATAATAATCAAGTTTCTATTTTGTTTTCACTTATTAGATGCATGAAATGGATCAAAAAGTTAAGACAAATACTAACTTATGAAATTAGTGTTACATTTCTGCATTTCCAAATAAACCTTTTAAATTAATAGTAAAGCTATCCAAAGATCTCCAGTTGACAAGAGCTATGAATTCTCTTTATGGATAGGACTGATATAAGATTCTCAGACTGTGTTTTTACATTCACAAATTACGATATTTTTCTTAATCCAATAGCCAGTGAAGAGAGCTTATGACTCTTTTCAAGAGAGGGTGACTTCTCCTTTAAATTGATGTCTATTTCCAGCTGAAAGTAACTTTCTTTGATAAATTATCCACCACCAACAAAAGTTACTGATCATAATGTGTGAACAAAAAATGAATTCTGAAGTTTGAATGTCCATAGTGTAACATTAATGCCAGACACCCAATATGTTAATTATTATAAATATCATACTTTATCATCATATAAATAAGCCTAAATACTACAAGAAATTTCTTGAGACACCATGTATGTTCTCACCAGGACTAAAATGTTCTCATTTCATGACATCATCTGCTTTGTACTCATATTTGAGATCTGTGTTGAAAGAGGCGATAACTAATGGTCAATAATTAACAAAAAAAAAAAAAAATTTAACTAAAATCAAATAAAAAATCAGGGTTTTAGAAAGTGAAACCGGCAGAAGAAATTGACTGATCAAAATTTAGAGAGGGAAAGTAGTAGAGTGACAGAGACCTTTGAAGTTGAGAGCGATACGAACACGGCAAGAGCAAGAGCTCCCCCAGGAAGAATATAGCTTCAGCTTCATTGGCTCTTCACCATTACTCGCCTATTCACAAACAACCAATAGCTCGTTAGACAGTTAAATCAATCAGTTGAGTCTGTAGTGATTGATGTGATGGTGCTCTGTGCAATTGATTGATGATGAAGTAAGAAAATTTTAGTGAGAATTCCTTAAAAAAAAAAAAAATTAATTAAAATAAATTGGAAACAGAGCAACTGATTCACAACGAATTTGAGAGACACCAACCATAGTGCACGATAAGAGTAATTCCTTGCTTCTTAAGTGACAACTCCTCAAATTTGAACTCTTGTTTTTCAATTGCAATGTAAAACATTTTATAAGTGCCAGCGATCCATGATGTAAAATCACGCTCTCTACATTTTTCCTATTAAATTGAGTGAAAAAAAAAAGGAGTTGCAGCCGGCTCCTGTTGTGTAGTTTCTATCTTTCTTTTTAGAAAACCCAATAGCCTACAATAGGAAGAAAACCCTAATTTTACAAAACCCAATAGCCTACAATAAGAAGAAAACACAAAAACAAGAACCATTACAACAAAAAAGCTTAAGAAACACCAAATCATCATAACTCAATCCAAATTTACAGCCGAAAAAAGAAAACAAGAAAAATTCAACTGAAACAATGAAAATGCACTGACAAATGTATGGTTTGAAGCTCACCGAGAACCCTTGATCCCTCTTCTGAGCCCATTGTAGCTGGATTGAAAATTGAGCTGGGTTTCTCAATTCCTACAGCGATAAAGCTAGAGAGAGAGGGTGGAGGGACCGGCTTAGAAAAAGTCGTGGAGAAAGAGAGAGAGAGAGCAGCGATGAGAGAGAGCAGCGCGAATGAGAGAATTTTATTTTTAGGGCCAAAGAGGATCGTATTTACCGAACGAATTCGGGCAATATATTAAATTATGGAGAAAGGGCATTTTAGGCAACACAGAAAAAAGTGAGAAGGACATTTTTGGC